GGTTTAGTACTAATCTTCAGTCCAGCCTGGAACATATGGGCACTGTAACTGTAGGGAGCATCCTGTTCAGCTGCTTAGGCTCGATACACTTGATGTAGGAAACACTGTGGTGGAACTAAGAGCTTTAGCAAACTTTTGTTTTGCATGTGAGAGTTGTGATCCTTCAAGGGCTTGGGATTTTCCCAGTTTGAACAGGCAGTTACGAGAGCAACAAAACAGGTGCTACATTCCTGTCCCAAAATATGGGGTAACTTTTCTTCCAAAAGGAAAGGATTACTAGCATGCATTACCTTAGGGGACGCACAGGAATACGACTTTTTTCCTCCAGTCTTTGTTGACATCACCCCAAATTCTTACTTTCCTCCACCTCTCTCTCATTTACAAGGTAAATGAGACTGACATGAAAAGGTTCCTGCAAAATGAAGTTTCAGCCTAAACTGTTATTGTTCTAAACTGTTGAAATAAAGCTTAAGATTTTTGCCTAAAAATACCTAGTAATCCATGGGGGCTGATTAGTGGAGCATGGCAGGTAATATTTTTTTGGCCAGGTGTATATCTGTGTAGTATCCAGAGAGAAGGTAAGTTCATTCCACTTTATTCTTAGCAGATATGGTATGGAGGAAGCTATGGGCAGAGATCTTCCTCTAATTTTTCTGATGGGTGTAAGCATTTGTAACTTCTATGTTAAGTATCAGCTTCACACGAGGTGATGAAACTTGTTGCATATTTGAGGGTTATGTTTGTTGGAAGATGAACCATTCCTTCCATTTCAGATCTTGCCAATTTTCTGAGTTGATTATGATAGGATAATAGGTTGTACACTGAGCTAGGTTTAGATTTAAGTGGTAGTTAGCTTTCCATGTATCTTTGTGGATCTAGGCCTTACTAGTACAGTGCAGTAGCTTTATCAGCTTTTTTAAGATTGTGATGCTGAGTGAAATTTGTGATACTGTGCTGAGATGCTTGGGTGTCTTGTAATACATCATGTTTCTGCATTCACAGGATGATTCCCCAGGAGAGGGAGATTTGCCCTTTCAGCTGAGCTCTCAGTCCTCCTCATCACATTCTCAGCTTACAGTGGATTTACCTGTTCACATACTTCAGGTACAGCATGTCAGAGCCGTTGGGTTTTATTGCCTGGCTTGAAAGGGAGGAGAGTTTACTGTGAACACTCTGGTGTTCTGCCTAATGAAAATACCTTGTTTTCCACTGGAAGTTTAATTTCGCTTACAAGAAGGCAGTAAGCAGAGAGCTGCACTGCAAGATTTATCTTGTGTATGTTGCCAACCTTTGACATGCAACAGGTGGTTGTTTTTCTTCCTCTTACCGAGTAATGAATAACTAAATGTTATTCATTTACTACTGAACTGCCCCATTCTTGTTTTCCCGATCCCATCCTGCAGATATTAAGTGGGTCAAGAAAGAGGATCAGAAGGGATATGTAACAGGCTACAGAAAGGGTGGGAAGAGGGAAATAAAGTCTTGAGCCTAGATTTCAGAGCAGTGTCTATATGGGAATGGCAGTTAGATTAAAAAGCCTGCTTGCTTCTACAATCTTCCATTTCACTACTTGCCCTTGTTAACTGCTGAGCATCAGTGTTGTTTGAACACAGAAAGCTTCATATAGCTGCTTGTGTAAATGTTTTGTTATCTGCTGTTCTGGTAAACTGCATATTAGTGAGTAGGGGCAGCTGAGAACCGAGCAGCAGTGAATGATGAGCATGTATGTAAGCCACATTTTCTACTTGACCATGTGGGGCTTCAGTTTTGATAAACTCTGCAATCCGGTTATTCTTACCAAGTGTGCTTCTCCTGGGTAGAAAATAAAGCTTTTGTATTTGAGAGGAGCACCTTACTATGATAAACCTAGAAATACAAGAAGAGCATACTAGGATTGTTGGCCATGGTAGAGAGTTAATAGAGGAAAAGAAAATAGTCAGTGATTGTAAATTTATCTCCATTGGTAATGTTCATCTGAAGTGTTCCAAACGAAAACTGGAGTGGCACTGTTTGAGTGGGTCCCCAAAGTAGGAAAGCTTTGGTTTCCTCTAAACCATTCAAAGCATTTCTCTGGTCTTGGATAAATGCCAACGTAATCTTACTGGTAAGCATTAAAAGCATCTAGAGGCAAAAGCACTGAACTCTTCATGCTGTCTGTTTGCTTTAACAGGAACCACACAATTCCACTGAAGATGATGCAGGTTCTGATAACTCTCAGTTCACTGGAAGCACAATAAACTTACAGGATCTGGAATGAGCATTATTAAGAACAGTTACTTGAAAACAAACCAGGCAATCATGTCTTGACAGAGTGAGATAACTGTGTGGGTCTTTTTCCAAGGAAAATTATGAAAACTAGAAGTACTGGTTTATGGTTGCACTCTTCGCAGTTTGCTAAGGACAGTTGCAGCTGAAAGATTTTCTTAAAAAATGTAAATCCTACTTGATGTGCCTGTGTAAGATACTCTGTCTGCCTGGTGGTTGAAGAGACTGAGGCAGACTGCTGTACAGTGTTGTTTCAGGGAGAAGTACTGTATTAAACTTCAAACTGAGGTAATATTTACTGTTTTCACAAGAAAGCAAGTATTCTACAGCTAACAAGTACAAATTTGTAATCCTGCCTACAACAGTTAAAACTTTCCTTCCGTTGGTTTCCTGCTGGAGCCAGTGGCATCCAGGAATTAAGAGCTAAAATTTGCAAGAGTTTTCCACACACAAAAAAATAATTGTTTCGGCCCCTGTGTTTTGGCAGAAAACTGGAATAAAGTGTCACATGTAACAAAATTAATGTCCTATGCCATGAAAATGAGATGCTCTAAAATCTTTGTTCTAGAAAGCTAGATTCTAAATGTTAACTTAGCTGTGAATCAGTTTGTAGCTCATGTTGAGTTTCTCCCTTTCCTTGCTCCTGCGTTCCAAATACTTTGCTGAATTCTTCCAGCAAAACTTGAAAAAGAAAACTGCAATAGAACTGTACTCACTGTAAGTGATTAGCTAAGAGTCCAACAGCATCTGAGAGAGGTTCGTTTTACTTTGTGTTCCCTTTTTTGGGAGGAATGTTGACTGTCACATAAATTTAAGCACCTTGATTTTATCTCATCTATAAACTGCTGCCAAGTTACCTGTAAACTGGCCACTACCTTTTTATTTTGGGTTTTGGGTTTGGGTGTTTTGGTTTTTTTTTCCAATCAAACACTGTTAACACTCGTTCTTTATTGATATCCCAGAGTGTCACATGCACGTGGAGCTTCCGGCTGGTTTACAGAATATGCAGTTCTCAGAGTATTTTATGAGGGGAAAAGAATTGTTACCTAGAAAGGTTTGCCCCACTGAAAAACTGCAGTTTCTCTTAGAGGGCGGGGGGAGAGGTTGTATGTACTGTACTTATCTGGATTGCAGACACCTAAATAAGTATAGGGTTGTATAGGAAAAAAAAAAAACCCTTTGGTTACATTTTAAGGTAGTAATTTAAATGTTTCTTATGGTGATGTACTGAATGCCTATAAAATTACATATAGGAGTTTGATAAAAGGGTGTATGTACTGTTTTTTATTCTCAATGAGGTGTGTGTGTATGCACGTATGTGTATTTTTTTTACGAAATAAGATATGTCATGCAGGAGAACGTTGTGATCTTTCTAATCTTGCACATATTTATTTATTTTACAGTTATACTGATGTTGAATTCACACGAGGTCATTCAGAAATGCTTTTACTTCCTGTGCCTTTTGAACTATGTATGTGTCCAGATAAATGCTTTTTTTTTTGGTTGAAGACTTGGGGGAAAAGAAAAAACCATACAGGTTACATTCAGCTTCAGATCCTGATTTGTAGGCAGCATTATATTCTCTGGTTGAACCAGTTTTATTTTTCTATCTTTAGCTTAACTGAGCAGTGAGGTCTCTCTGTTCCTCTCCCTGAGTTTACAGCTTGTGTCCAGGGAATCTCTTACCCCTCTCAGGCTGGGTTTCCAAACCAAACTAATTGGTAGATGAGATCTTCTACCTGGTGGCTGTGACTGCAGCACGGAGTCCACTCCTGAGGGGTAGAATGGTTGAGGAGGAATCATGCTGAAGGGACTACTGGGTCTTGCTCTAGTGGTCACCGTGCTCTCCCTGGAAGCTGAGGCACCTCAAGCTCCCCAACGCCTGCGTTACTCTTTTCTCAAGGACCATACCAGTTCTTAATCTATTAAAATGGCCAAGGAACACTCCATCTTTTTATGGGACTTGCAACCAAATCTTTCTACTTCTGAAAATGTACCTCACTCAGCTTTGTAAGTGAATGTAAAGTGCTAACCTCTTGGGGCCGAAAATTGGATCACTTGGCTTGAATTCCATTGCTGGCAATGGATACCTGAAGATCTGCTGGTGCAAAAGAGTTAATAAAGCATTTTTTTATGGTCAGTTTGTCACTGGGTATTGTTCTTTGTATGGATGCATCTGACGTAAAGCTGATTATTAGGACCTTGATTTCTGCAGAGCTTGTGCTTTTCCTTCGCTTGCATCTTGTCCACAGTAGTGGCATGGAGTCTATACTGAAACCCATCCTTTTGATTAAAGCATAGCCTTCATTTTTTATAGTCCTTCAACAGATTTATGATTATAATAAATGTCTGGCAGGTGCCTGGCTTAGTCATGCCTTAACAAAGATTGTTACCTGGGACTGTGATAGATCTCACCAGTTGGCTTTGTAGGGGTAGTGCTATTTGTGTCAAAAACTGAATGAGAAAAGCATTGTTGCTAGCAGGAGCCTGAGAAGCAAAATGAGAGAATTCTAATTTATTTTCTTAGGCAAAAGATCAATGGGGGGAAAAAGGGGTTGCCTGACGCAGCAACTTTCCCTGGGATCTTAGGGTAGAAGATCTTAGGGTAGGAGAAGAAGGGAATTTCATGGGACCGTGAAGTTCATCAACTGAGCAAAGACTAATGGAATGTAGATCTACAAAAAACTTTTTCTAGAGCAGCATCAGCCCTACATGCTGTGGTTAAGGCTGTGCTGTCAAGTAAAATAATAGAATTGTTCTTCCTTCTCCTTATCCGTCTGCTCTTGGCTGTGCTTTTTCTTCTCCTTCCTGGCAGGTGGGTTGGAACGAAACACCAGCCTCCTGCCGCTCTGCAGAGGAAGAAGAGGTGCGTGCATCAGTGCTGCGTTGGAGTAGTGTATCTGAAGCACGCAGTTAGAGCTTCATGCTGCCAGGCTCTCCTGCTGTGAGGGGCCATGGCCCCTTGCTGTCTCTTTTCTAGGCAGGTTTCAGTATGTCTATTAAGCGTGTTTTTTCTATTAGAAAATGAGCGTGAAGCACCTGAAGGCTGTGCATGTGCTTGTGCTTCAGCTTCTACAATGTACTATTGGACCTGCAGTGGGTTTCTGACTAAAGCCTTATTTGTACTCTCTCAAGAGGAAGGGAAGTTGGAAGTCTGAAGAAATATCTGAGGGAGCCTGCAGACCCCTTTTATTTTATCTTGGGTAAAGGGGCAGGGACTCAAGGTGTCTGTTCTCAATTGCCCATGCTGTCACCGGCTTGGTGTGTGACCGAGAACTGGGATGTCCTCACTGTTGTGTTGACCTGTGAAATGCGCAGCGGGAGCCATGGCTTGAAGCTCTGCACTGTGCCTCCTGAGGGGCCAAAGCTCGGTTTGGTGTAATGTGGAACATGCTAAAAAGGTATGGTTTGATGGTATGGCTGAGCTGATCTAGGGCCTTGCTGCTGCCCTGTTCCTCATTTGCTGATTTGCATGCTTTTTTTAATATTGTCAAGTTAACAAGTTGAAATGAGCTTACTGAGAAAATTGGCAAGTAATGGAGGGGGTCATGTGGTCAAGACAGAAGGATAGGAGAAGGATGATGGAAGGACAGAGCTGGAATATCTCGCAGTATAACTGACTTCCCAGCAGTTGCTGAAGTTACATCAGGCCTGTAAATTGGGCTACACCTGAGTATGGGTGCCATCCCCACCCAGTTGTGGAGGCTCCTAGTAATAATCTTCCCTTAAATGCTTGATGTTCAGGTACCCCCAGCTTCTCTGAAGTGGGCTGTTCAGGCAAGGTGTTCCTATGTATTATGGCACTTACATTTTCTTTTATAGTTGCCTGTGATCTTTCCAGGGCCCTTTGCAGTCTTTCCTCCTGCTGTTGCTTCTGTTGTCTCAGCTTTTCCTCTCTGAGCCTTTTGAAGGGAGCAAATAAAGGAGGGGTTAAATGTGGCGTGCAGCTACACCAAATAGCTTTTGACACGCAGCATCAACATCTTATATCTAACAGCGTAAGACCACTGGAGCACAGGGATTTGGGTATAGCCCATGTTGGAGTTTGTTGCTGTGAAGGTGGTAAGAGGGAAACGCTTGCTGCAGTTGATGCTGCTCTTTCTGGAGTGAGGGGTGGAAAAAGCATGTCAAGCTTTGCAAATGGAGATGTCAGACAGTTGTTCTCTGTTACAGACATGCTCTGTACCACCTTCAGCAGGTGACTTATGCTCTACAGTTGACCAGGATGCTCACCAGCTCTGTGGGTGAATGATGCTTCTTGTGTCTTAAGTTCTCACCAGTGCAACCAAGTCTGTAACATACAGATGTTGGAGCGTTTTACATCCATGGAGCTAGAGTTTGCCAAAACGGGCACAGTGGAGGCTCATACTGTTAGCTGGCTCCAATTCCCTATGGAAATGAAGCGCTGGAACAGAAATGGGCTCAAGCTATGGAGCACTGTGGTGGAGAGGAAATGAATTCTTAACCTTGTGATCTTCAGGAAAATTTTAAATGCTCTTTGAAGGTATTTTTTTTGGTTGGTTGGTTTTGCTTTTTATTTGGGGGGGAGTCAGATTCCTTCTTGAATTCTCCTCCATCCCCAGAGTAGAATTAACGTGTGTCTTATTTCTTTTGTAAGTTAAGAGTGCAAAACCGTTCACAGAACATCAGGAAGAAGCATCACACCCTTTCTACTACAAAGGTGAAGAAAGATGCAGAGAAAGAGTAAGGAGGATAGAAATGTCACTGTTCTGGCTTCAAATCCTCATGCTTTTTTTTTTTTTTTTTTCTCTACTGGATCTGATTCACCTGAGGATGGCAAGATACAATCAGCTGCCCAGTTGCATGTCTGCTATGTGTGAGGGGAAATTTCACGTGTGTAACTGAGCCAAAAGGAATGCGTCTCATCTCAGAACCTAAATCTATTGTGTTAATTGGCTACTATTTAATTTAATAACACAAGTTAAACTTAAGAGTTTTGTAGAAGAAACATTTGAAAGCTGGCATTGCTGACAAATGCCCTTACGTACATACTGAAGCCTGACAAAATATCAGGGCGTATCGGACTTCGAGTGTGTTAAATAGCTACAGAGGAGTAATTTTCTATTTAATCAGCTTAAATATTGTTACTGCAGATTGTCTTCTTAAAATGATGATTCTCATAATTGAATTTGGTTTTGGTTATTTTTGTTTGTGGGTTTTTTTTTTAATTCTTCTAGATTTTGCCCTTTTCTAATGTAGCTGTGGGCTGCTGCTCGGGAGATGCAAGTGCTATGAATGTGAAACCCTTACAGAAGTAAAATGGGATGGACTGGTCACATGGGCTTTCAGATTGCTGTTACAGTTTCCTGGGCTGATCTGACAAATTTGGCTCTTTCAGTGGCTTTGCTTTTGGCTGTCAACATTTAAAAATAGAGGCCCCATTTTCAGAGGAGGGTCTTGTCTTACCTTATCCTCCGTTCCTTTTTTTTGGCTTTCTCAGCCTGTTCTATCTTTGCTGGTGGGATTTTCTCCAGGTTGTCCAGTAAATCATTGAGCTGTTTTTCTATCACCGTTAGCATCTGCACTGTCTGCAGGTTTGCCTCATTTTCTCCAGTGCAGTGGCAATAGACTTCCAGCACCTTCTTGTTCAGGCTTGTGAGCATTTTGTCCTAGAGATGAGAGGAGACATGGTGAGAGGCACGGCTGGGTTCTGCCCCACAGAACCGCAACATCCCTCCAAAAGCAAAGGAAATCAGTACACTCCAATTCCCTCAACAAGACTCAATTGCTTGTTTCCCGGTTTGCTTAGCACCAACGTCTGGGATAGGTGGCTGTACTGAGCCATTCTTCTGTTGGTCTCAATTTCCCAGCTTTGCTGTGGCCCGGGACAGGTTGCAGCTGCCCGGTTGCCTCTGCGAGCCCTACTCCCACCTCGTAGCAGCTGCATGGAGCAGACACATTTGCCCCAGTTTGCTGCCTCAGCAGTGCCCCTGAACTGCCCTTGTTATAGCTCCATTGCTGAGAAACAGTGCTGATCCCTCCCCAGTGCAACCCACTGTCTGCTTTTTTCCCAGGATGTTTATGGCTGGTGGAGAGGAACTGTTTATGTGCATGCTAGCCCCCCTTGCCTTGATCTCAGGATGTACCTGGTCATCAGCTTTGTATTCTCCAGAGGAAAAGAGGTGAACTTTGAGCTTCAGATCTGCTGCTCTTTTTTCTTCCTTGGCGATGGAGGATTTGAGGGTGACTACCTGCTGTTTCAGCTCTGCTAACTTCTTCTCCCTAGGCCAGAAGCAAAAGGAGGTATTTTGAAAGGGTTATTTCTGAAACACGGCTCCTCTGCTGCTTTCCAGCCTGGGACCGTCCCCCCTGCTGCCAGCAGATGGAGGTAACACTTCATGCCATTTCTGGGGAGCCTGCACCCACAGCTCTGAGAGCAGAGGGAACTCGTGATTTTTCTGGAGTAACCTTTACTGTGCTGGCGTGGGAGAGGGAGAAGTAGCATAGCGAAACATTTGAGATTTTTTACTAAGTCAGTAGGGTAAGTAGATTACCTTTAAAAATTTTCACAAGGGGTTAAGCTACGCTTTAAATGGGAATATGTGTGTCTACCTGCCATTGAAATACTATATTGCAATTACATTTGGGTTCCCTGCTGGCTTCCTCTAGGAAGGGTTTGCACTGAGTCAGAATAGGTGCTGGTCTGGATCACTCCAGGACATGTTGTTTCTTCCTTTGATCTTTCTTTGAGAATTACACGCTAATTCTGGCTTATGTCCATTCCAGGTTGCTAGATGCATCAGTTCCCCGGCCTGTGCCTTGAGAACTAAGGAACTAGTCCCAAGCTCAAGTCCTATCTCCTAAATTACATAGATGGGACACTTTCCTAGGAGCTCACAAGATGGGGAGTTGGATGGGCTGCAGCTGGTTCTAAGGTATGAGAAAGAGACTCTTTGTTGTGCGCTGCGTGAACAGCATTGCGTGTGCTCTGCGGTATGCAGCCTGATGGCGAATGGGGGAGGAGGGGGTCACATGTTTGAAAGCTGGGGCACAGAGACCCCTTCCCACCACTTGCAGGACCATACTTACATGCTTTCATGTGTGGTGATGAAAGTGTGTTGGATCTTGTCCAAACTTTCCTCGATCTCTTGGGAATTCTGCATGAAGGACAAGTTCTCTTCCTCCATCTCCGTGAAAATAGACAGCAGTTGTTGGGGATCAGTAAAATACAACTCAGGCTCCTGGAGTGGAAAGCACATGTGATAAGTTTTTGTCCTCCTCTAGCTTCTTTTCCGTTGAGCTACATGGAGGTTAGTCTGCACCAACCCTGGCTGTTCAAATGCTCTCCCATGTAGGGAGGTCCGTGACTGTCCACACGCAAATGTCTCCTACCTTCCTGCCATATGCATAGCTTTATGCTGTCACAGTAGCTCACCCCCAAAACGTGTTGCATTTTGGGGAGTAAAAAGTGGTGAGTGGGAAAACTTCAATTTTAGGCATAAAACAATAACTTCACTAATTTCAAAATCTCCCATTGTATGATGTCGTAGCTTGTTGGGGGGTGGCAAGCTTTGAGATGATGGTAGGTTTTTGGAAAGTGGAGGAGGAAAGTTAAACTAAGGTATTTATAATTTCTGTTGCTAAAACATGAACATTCATGAATGTATAAACATACATTTATAATTAGTAGCTACAGTAACTCCTCAATACCATAATGGATGGTTAGAAGGCGGGAGAAATTAGTAACATCGATAAATGTCACAGGACAAACGGAAAGTGTAAATATTTCAACACAAGACTTCTGACCTCATCGTCGTCCGAGCAGGTTTCGCTTTCTGCATCCTCCAAGGAACTTCTGAAAAAGCATTTTGTGTATCAGGCCCTTAGAGAAATGATAACTCAGAGGAGACCTTGTTAGTGAATTATGAAAGTGGTTGCTGTTTGCTCCTGAACAGTCCTTTGCACATTCACACGTTTGGCCCCCTGTGGCTGTGGGCTGTCTGGGGGTCAGTAGGAGCTAGGGGTCACACAAACATGCAGCGTGGGAGCTACATCTGTCCACAAGCAAGCTGTCTTTTGAGCTGCTCCAAGCTCTGATGGCCAGCAGGGTCGGGATATGACACATGAGCCTGAACTGAGGGTGTTGATCCAAATGCCTTTAAACTCCATGGGAGGCTTTGCCTCTTGGGCAATGAGAAGGCAGAGGTAAGAGCCTTACTAAAAAGGCTCAGGCAGCAGCACAGCAAGTGTAGAGAAAGCCTTGTGCTCCATGTGGGCTGTGGTACTGCTCCTAAACAACATGGTGTAGTGACCATGGAAGCCTGCAGTTTTCACCTGCCCTGGGAGAAGGTTGTTGAGTGCTTCTTCCTCTGCACAGCCTTCTACCATTAACCACCAGTGCAGCCTCTTTCTTCCCTGCTCAGCCCCAGGGACAAGCCAGTGCACGAGTTGGAAGAGCAAGGCAAGAGGTGCCTGACTGATGCTGGCAGCAAAGCCTGCTCATGACCTTTGCTTGCACCTGTCACTCTGTGCCATGGAGGGGTGAAAAACCTGCATTTGCATCATCTTAGTGCCAGCCCCACTTGTGTCCGCGTCGTTCCTGCCATGTGGCAGCAGCCCAGCAATTGCAGTGGCATAACAAGAGGTGGCACACGGCAGCCCTGCTTGGGAGAACCTGGCACCTGCAACGCTCTGAGTGGAGGCAGAGGAAATGGCCCTGCAAGCAACGACTTACTTCAGATTCTACTGATAGCTCAAGGTCTATGATTCCTCCTGGGGTTACCTCAAGGCCCAAATTCTTTGGGCAAGGCTCTCAGCAGAGGATTTGAGGATGGAGCTCAATTGGAGTAGGTACATAGGTACTGACTTGCACACCTGATGGCTTTCTACTGGTATTTTGATTTGTTCCAATAAGACCCACATCTCAGTATGCTCACAGTGAAGGTGAGGAGCAGGTTTCCTCTATACTGACTTCCAGTCAGTTGAGTGCTCTCTACAGTACTTAAGTCTGTCGTTTGCATTGTCTTGTACTTACAGTTTTCTTGTTGATAGAGGCTTCAGGAAGTTTTTGAGCTGTGGCCTGATCTCATGTAATGACCTGAAATCCAAACTTTTTGAAGACCGCAGGGAACTTGGCACATCTATATAACGGGTACTATAGGGACTGGCAGCGTTTGTCCTGGCTGCCAGACCCTGGCCTGGGGACAAGAAGAGACGTACACTTAGAGCATGGGACTGTGCCGGTGAGGAGTGGGCAGCTCTTCCCTGGCACTCACTGTGCTCTGTGGTGGTGGGAGGCGAGGCACTTTCTTCATTAGCTTTGGATGCTGTTTTCAAATCCTTTTTCATTGTGTGCTTTTTTTCATGTTCCTCCTGCCACTCTTTTGGAGATAGTTGATAGAGGAAGTCCCTGTACATCTTGTACTCCTGCAGAGTATTCTTGAATCTGGATATGTCACTGGGTTGAGAGAAGTGGACAAAGTTTGTTAGCAGAGAGGAAAGCCCCTGTTTGAACAGGTTCTTACTAACTCTTGATGTTCAGCTTCACCCAGAGAAGGGACAAGAGGGCACATATCTTCATGGTGTGCAAAGACAAATGGGAACCTGCCCTGCATGCTCTCTGTTGTTCCTCATGTGGAAGCTGTCTGGTCACATCTCTGTGGCCAGACCCTTGCTACGGCACTGGGCTTGCTAATTTTGGAATTTTTACTTGAAAATGAATGAGGAATCTTGCCAGCTCAACTCATAATGGGAATTACTTTTTTTTTTTTTTTTTTGTCTTTCCTCAGGTCACCATTAAAATTAATTACTTAGTTTTGTTTGGTTTTTATTCTGAGACTAGGCATTTAATTTTGGTTTTGGAATATTTATACTTTTAAAAAATGTAATTTAAAAATAGTTGAGTTGTTTTAGAAACAAAGCCAGCATCTGGAAAACAAAAGCTGAAACATTTTGACTCTTAAAATTGAACATTTTTAGAAATCTTTTTCCCTGATTCCCTTTTTCCCTAAGGGCTGTGAGGGTATAGCACTGTAGGGGCTGTTAAAGGATAGGCAAGAATAGCGTACAACCATTACCTTTGGAGGTTCTCTATTTGGGAAGTGATTGCCTGGATCTCCGTTATTTTCTTTGTCTTTGCTGCAGTTTCTTTTTCGGCACTAGGGGAGAATGCATAAACATAAGCCATAAAACAATTTAGCAGTAAGTGGGTAGTGAATTGAGGTACATATGAAACAGAGAAAAAGATGTGGGATGAGTGCTAGAAATCTCTTATAGATGCATCCCAGGTAATGCTTGGCTCCTGCCTGAAGTCCCTGCTTGTCTTGGCAAAGAGAGTATGGGGTCCCAGTGACACTCCCAGGTTATGAGAAGAATGGAAGTGGTGGGATCAACAGCAGGTTCCTTGCTGCAGCCAAATCAAGGGCTTTTGCAATGAGGGGATTCCCCAGCTATTGTTCTCCTTCCTCTCTTTCATTGCATGTTTGGGGAGAAAGTGCTGCCAGGACTGTAACTCTGGGCAAACTCAGACATAGAGCATCTGCTAGCCAAAACCCTGCAGGGAGATCAAGCAGAAGACCTCCTGCCTCCAGCGCAAAAGAGCACACAGGTGATTCCCTCAACTTCCATTACATTTTCAGGGCTTGAACAGAGTTTTTATGGTTCTCCTTCAGGAACTCATCAAACACGGCAGCATCCTTCTGCAGGTAGTATTCAGCCTTTTCCAATTTTCTTTCCTCGTTCTTTGCTATGTTCTCCATCCTTTGAATCTCATCTCGCTTTACTGCCATGGCATACTGCAATGAACCCAAAAGGCAACACAGTCACATTGGTTGGTTGATTTTAAAAGTATATTGGTTTAGCTTTGGTTTTGGTTACCTTATTACCTTACAGTTGGTGGTGGAGAGGGTAAGGATTTCAAACCAAGGTATGTGTCTTAGTGCAAGCTAGATACATAGAGGCCAGGAGATATTTCAGAAGTAACATAGTAAATAAGCAGTGAAATTAAAGACAGAATCCAGAAGTCCCAGCACTGCATTAACTCCTGGATGACAAAGATTGATTCAGGTGTGTTACAGCACAGTAATAGAGGTGAACAATGGGGATATTCCAGCATGGTTCCTTTATTTTGAGTTCAGAATGGCTCCCACCTATAATTTATGTATAGGACAGCAGGAGCCAAAAGGTCAGTATATCCATGCATCTCACAAATGAAATGGTTGCATGGCTGCTACTGGATTGTGTGAATGACCTATGTTCCTTTCTTTCTTGGCTGGGGATTGCTGGGCCATAGACTATGAGTGTCTTTAACACAGAACTTGGACAATCAGTTCATGAGGTCTGATGTGTGCCTCCTTGGTGTGATCTCTAGAGGCAATGGATCTCAGGGGAAAACAACAAAACAAAGCAACACAGGGAAGAATAATTAAACAAACAGAAAGTAACATTCTTAAAGCCAAGTACCTCAAGTAAAAATACCTCTCTTCTGTCATTTATGTAGTCACGGAAGGTCTCCTTTTCTAACGGGTAATCTGAAATGAGGATAAAAAGTTGATCAGACTAGAGGGGGAAATATGGCCAAGGCAAAACAGTGAATATGGAGGCTACCATGAGCATGGGTGTGGTTGGTGTTGGAGCCAGCAATAACGATTATTTTATTATAGTTTTGACCTTGTTTAGGATCAGTTTCATATGGGCTTTTGTGGAGTAAAACCAGGTAGAATGGAGTGTAGAATCTGCTCCTTACAAGGGTCAATGTCCTCTATACATTAATGGCAAAGCTCCTCCTCATGTCAGAGGCAGAAAATTTAGGCCCACGTCCACTAAAATCCAACTTTAGGTCAGCTTAGTAGAAATGTCTGCATGACACAAGGTCCTGCAAACTCTCAGCTGACTCCCAGCTGATTCCCAGAGCTCACAGCTACTGCAGGGGCCATAGGGGATGGTGGAATCCAGGCTACTGTGGTGGGGGTGATACATGCTCCATATGTAAATGCATGAGACGGAGACAGCCCAGCCACACAGAGGCTGGCAAGATGCAGCATATAACTATTGTGTCTGCAAGAACTCACCAAAGTCAGCTGGAGCTAACTGCTACTCCTATCCCCTCTTTGATTTTTACTTTTTTGTTACCCAGCTGAGCAGCACTGCTACAAAGATAGTAACCTTTTTTAATGGCTATCTTCCGTGAAAGACCCTCCTGAAGAGTTTTCAGTCTCTCTTCATTTGTTGCCTGTTTTCTGCTTTCCTCTTCTTCCTCCTTTTGCAGAGCTTTCCTGAGCCCTTTTTGCTTTGCTTTTATTTTAGTGGAGTAAGTAATTTTCTCATGGATTTTCATGGTCTTCATCCTTTCACGTTCCTATGAGGAGAAGTCAGTTATGTGGACAGGTTGATTATGTGCTTTGTTTGCTGTAGTTTTTAAAGACATGAGTGGTTATTCACAGTTTAGAAATTTGCAGGCTACTGATATCCTGCTGATGCATGTTTGCCTGGTTTATGTGACTAATCCCAATGATATTCTCTCTTGAGGCAACTGAAACATTTCATTTCTTAGCATTTGTTCTCATTAGTTTGTTCATTTGTATTCTGCATCTAGCCACCAGCTGTGCCAGTTTGTATCTATTCAGTGTCCTCATTTTTCCTTCCTGGATTATTCCTGGGAGAGAATGGAAATTTTCAGAGATTCATCCTTCAAGTCCCCTAGTAAAAGGGAACAACAGGACAGCCCATGCTCAATACCGACTCAGTCCCTCTTTCACAAAGGCATGTAAACCATCAAGTTCGGATTAAGAGGATCTATTCAAACCCACACCAGAGCTTTCTGGAGGGTAAAGATTGCTCACGCTCAGTGCTTTCACATGGGCTCTTTGCCCTTTGCTTTTCTCTTTGCACAGTTTGGGCATGGGTTAGGCTGAGGACATCACTCGTCAGACATCCTTAGTGCACTTCTTCCTAAGCCCTTCCCCATACTTATATAGTGACCTTCATCCCAAGCTAAAACCAGACTATCAGTCATCAATGTGAGGTGAGGAGGCTTGCTTAAGCTTCTCTGGATCCCTCCCTTTGTGATTTAGAAACAAAGACCTCTTGCATCTACACTATTGCCTGGCTTTTGCAACCACGTGCAACAATCAGACCTCTCCAAGATGCAACAACTTCTCCATGACTTCCCACCCTCTTTGGATTGCATGCCTTAAGGAAAGTCCACTGCAGAAATAAGGAAGAAAGTGACATTTCTGACACCCAGCTCTCTGGTCTGGTGGGTTGCATTTCCCTTTCTTATGGAGAGAAACCTAAGGCATGAAACCCATGTTGTCCTTCTTCCTAGGCATTCATTTTGTTCGCAGTTCAGAAGAAGGTCACATCAAACGTAATACAGCTTCCCAAGCAGAAAGCCAAGCCTGCTGAAATGGAAAGCAAGAGATCTTGCACAAGAGCTTTATGTAGAAATCAACTCTAACAGCACTGGCAGGTATCTTCTCCAGGAACAGGAGTGAGTCGTAAACCTACCTTGAAGTAAATGAAGTGACAATATCCAGATTTTGCACTAGCAACCAGCAAGCCTGTGCTCAGATCTGCTCTTGGTAAAGTTAATCTCTTATCATGGACTTCAGTGGACTTGAAGGTGATCTGGGGGAATCTCAGCTGAATTTGGCAGCTATTATTTTTATCATGCACTAAATTTTGGTATCATAGTGGTTGGTTGCCTGCCCTAGTGAACTACTTGTATATACATTGGCCTAAAGCATGTATACATACCGCCTTAGCCTTTTTTCTTTCCTTGTCCCTTATTGAGAAAATATCAATATCTGGAGGAATTGTAAATGGATTTTTCACTGGGTTTTCTTCATCCTCTTCTGGGCTTTCTGCAAAAAAAATGGATGAGAATGGATGAAAATGGATGTAGAAGACGTGAGGCAGAATATCAGGACCCAGTGCAAAGGGACCCTGCTGCATCATGCCTGAAGGGTGGGCAGCTGTGCTCAAAGCTGCAGATATCTAACGATGCTGAATCAAGAGTGGGGAGCTGGATAGGGCTTATAAGAAGACAGTGATATAACTGAGATCTTTGTATGGTTTCTGTCACTTGACCATATCTGCCAATCAACTCAGGATTTTCAGCCAGGGATTTTTGTAACTCTGGAGCTATTTTACCCCTCTCATCTGATCATGGGTGGAAAAGTCTGAATACAGGCTGCTTCTTTGACCTAACGACGAAAAGCTGTTGGAGCATTGTTACCTTACCTGACAGCACAAGCTGGGTTTCCATTCCAGGTATGGAAGCGAGACTTTTAGATGTTGACTCTGTATGTGGAGATGGCATCTTTGACCCTGGCTCTGGTGAAAACATAAACAAGTCAATCAACTGGGACCTGCCAGTAACTGACACAGTAGGTTTCACAGCAGTGATGGGCCTAGGGGCTTTCTGGACCTTCACCACTGAGCCTTTTGTGCCTGTAGATGTTAACAAAAAGCTTCAGCAAACTGGAAAATATTTGTGTTCTGACCCCCAAAAGGAGATGTTCATCCCTGGCTTATGTGAAAGCTGTGTAAAACACAGTCCTCCTTACACACACACTGATGGGAAAGCAAAGACAAAACAATCTGGAGATAACAAGCAACTCAAGTCCCTTGCCTCTTGTTCCATCCACATCTCCAGTTCTGGTCCGCAGACACCCATAATTTTTCATCCTCCCATTGCTGGTTCATAAGCAATGTTTTTACTCTCTAAAGCTCTTACCAGTAATTGCTTCAGCACTGTGGGTTTCTTGCGATAAGGCTGAATGATTGTTGGACAGCACAGACATGCTGTAGGGAACTCTGTTGTGTTTAGTTTTAGGCTGGCAAACTGTTGAAGGTTAGGTTTTTGTTTCTCTGAAATCAGTCTCTTTTTGTAGTCTTTGCTATGGGTCCTAGGGGAAAAGGCATAACTGTAATGATCTCACTTACAAAGAACAGATAGGCTATTGTTAAAGTTATCCTCTAATCAACAAAGGCAGCAAGCTGGGTCCCAGTGAGGTATTAGTTCAATTGATGCAATTCTGCTGCTGGGACCATTCCTGATCTGCACTGGTATAAGATACAGCAGAAAATATCCTCTTCCGCTTGCACTAGTTTTAAGGCTATTTTAGAGCGTCATTTTTTGCTCTGAACAGCCTCCAGTTTTTATGTATTTTGAGCTAAACTCATCTGGCCTAATTTCCATGTACGTCCTTGGTGCTTTGTGTTTCCTATTGGCTGTGTTTCTGCAGCTGCCCAATTAGTATCTTATTCTTTGGAGGTATCAAACTTTCACTGTGGACGAGACACAGAGGCTGAGGTAGAATTTAGGCTGTTCGAGTACATCTCAAATGCTTTCTCTCTCCTTTTCATTTCTTGAAGTACTTTTTCCAAAAGCCTTCTTGACTGGTTACTTAGATTTCATGTCTCTCTGAATTTTGCATAACTTAATGGGATATTTTTCCCTAGGGGTCTCTCATTTACATCCTGGAACAACATAACCCCTGCTGCTGATGTTAGTTTTGGGGAAAGCCCTATCAGGGCAGGGGTAGGAAGGCAGTCAAACACCTGCAGCGTTCAGTTGAATACACTTTGTGAAATACGCAGAGCAGTTGCAGCAAACACCTGGATGTTCAGCCCTCTTAGTGCACACCTTGACTTCTGTAATCTAAAACCCTTCTCATAAAAATCTTCTCATTCATGTAGTTGATTTAAATTCCTGCTACAGGGAATGGGACTGAAAAGCAGGACTAGGCAGAGGATACTGGCATGTGGAAAATAATTATCAGTGAAACTCTTGGAGATAAAAAGTGCTTTATAATATAATTTTAGCAAAGAGTAGGAATTTGTTTCTAAGATAAACTTATAAATATTCATTTTATGAAGGTATTTATGGTTCGAGGTTGTTGGGTTTTTTTAATAGATTGTTTGCACATCACTTTAGAAATAATGCCAAAAGCTACAGAAGCGCTAGTTGTGCTAATTATAATTATTAAGCTCAATAATGCAAATAAAAAATTGCTTTGTTGCTAGAATAATTTGGCATATATTTCACTGCCTCTGACATTTTTATGTTTCAGTAGCTACATACCAATGGCCAGTAGTATGTGAATCAATAGACAAAGCATTCATGGTTTTAATTTACCAAAAAACTTATTCAGTGCTTTTCCCTAGCATCAAGCTGCTGCACAGAAAAAATATATGCCAAACACGCAAACAGTTCTAAAAAATAATACCATAAAATCCATCTACTGTGTTCCCAGAGTGCTGGATGAGCATATGTTTTATACACTCAAATGGTTTAAATGATACCATCGCTTGCAGAGACGGCTTGTTATGCTCACTGGGAAAACACTCCAAGTTTTGAGCTACAGAGCAACCCTTCCAGGGACGGATGTGTCCCATTTCCCAATATGTACCCCCCAGCTCGCACACAGAGAAGGAGGTGGTTAGTGTGTGTGATTTCCCAGTGACACACACTAGCACCTCCGCTTGTCTGAGAGAGACGCTGTATGTGATGATGAAAACAGAAAAGGAATTGCTGTGATTGCCCTCACCCCCTCTATTTTTTGGTTTCTCACCCAAAGGAGAGCTCCTCCAGGCTCTTCTCTGCAGCAGGGACGTGGATGTGGATGTGGACATGGATGTTGTGGACGTGGACGTGGCTGTGGTGCAGCTTGGCTCAGCTCTGGGCTTTTGCCCGTCTCTTGTTTGCACTGCCATGGAAACCTGCGCTCCCGTTGCCGGGCGGCATCCGACCCGCAGGCATGGGAGAGATGCCTCGCTCCCTTCTGGCGCTAGGCCTGCGTCCCCTGCAGCTGGGACAAGCGTCCCTACCCCAGTGGAGCGGGGCTGAGCCAGGTGGGTCCTCCTGGAGCCCGGCCGCCAAGGGAGGCTTTGCAAAATCACCTGCCCGGCTGCAATGCGGGCACATTGATAGGTTTCCTGAGCAGGCAGCTCACTGAGGTTCAAACCAGACATTGGGATGGCAAAGGAAGAAAACTTCTGTGGTGTAAGAGGTGTCCCTGGCCTGCTGGGTTCTTTATTCGTTATTTCAGTCTACATGGCCTGGGAATTGGGTATTTAATCCCATGTCTGCAAGCAAAGCAGTGGGTTGAGGAAATGGGAGCTGCTGCCCCTGATTGTGGAAATGACTGTGATTTATCATTTTCATAGCCTCTGCCTTGGTCTTTCTGCTTGTAAAGTCTGAACAGTCATAATGTGGAGACGATGTGTGGTATGGGTGAATGAACTGTCATTTACTGGAGTTTCCCCAAGTCAACAGTGCTATAGAAACCCAAATATCACCTTCCAAAATATCATATAATTCTAAAGATGATTTGATAAAATATCAGGTGAAAAAAGTAATACATTTTAATGGAGGAAAAGATCCTTAAATCCTCATATTTACTCTTTCCTGTTTCTGAGAAGACCAAATCAGTTCCAAATGGATCATGTTCTTCTCTAGACTCTTTAGACTCTCTATTAATACAGTTTCAGCTTTCTGAAATAGCAGTTTCTTTCATTTACCGATAGGTTTCCAAACAGCTTTCTCCATCTGAATAATTCATGCAATGAATAGCATGATTTTCTGTAAGTGCAAGCTCCCATTTGATTGTATAGTTCTTTTCTGTAATTGCTGATTATCAAGAGACTGGATTCAGGCAACAGAAGGAAAATGCCTATACAGAAAGAAATTTCTCTTTATTCTGTGCATGAATGCTTTGATTTTTAGCAGTGATGCAGAAAACCACAGTGCTATCTTTAGTATGTTTTGGGAAATTTCCCAAATGTATTGGGGAGTATGTATAAAAAATGAGACTATAGAATAATTTCCATTACAAAAAAAAAAAAAAAAAAAATCAGGACTAAATTGTACTTAAGATGCATTTTTTTTAAAGGCATAATATCAAATGGTCTTTGTTCAGACATACCAGTTTATTACAAAATTGCAAATTTGCTGCAGTGGTAACATCACAGAAACAGATAACAGAAAACTAACACATTTGAACAGCTATGGCTCTGTCTGGCATAATTTCTATATCAATGAATGATACATTTATATATCCATTGTTCTGTTCTGTGCTATCCTTGCTAAACACTTATTTCCCCAAACTGGAACAGAGATTATTTAAAAGCAGAGGTGTATTTTGTGAATTCTTGGAAATGTGCAAGCTCTTCATAGCTTTGGGTCATTGTTCGTGTCCCACACGTGCCATAAGCCACTTAAGCTTTGCATTTCCTTGAGGGCAAAGAAGTTTTTAAGGCCAGAAGGACATCTGGGGTCTATTCTTAGCCACCATTAACTTGGTTAATGAATGGAATAAATAGCATGTGCAACATCATGGGAAAATCTGCCTGGTGGCATAGGCAGTGCAGCTGACCAGTGCTGCAGCTCGTCAGGGATTTCTGGGTTGTGTAACGTTGCTTCAGGGCACCATGTTTTTGGGGCTTATTAAATGTCCGTACAGTGCTTCCTTGGTGCACAGCTGAGAAAGACAGGCAGTTTGCATGATAAGAATGGCAGGTCGCTGCTTATGTTTCCAACAGGATGTCTGCAGATTCAGGGGCTTGTAGGCAGTGGTTTTATTAGGACACGGGATTGGAATTTCAGGATGTCATTATTCCTTTGCTCCCTTCATTTCTTTCTTGAAGGCGTTACTTGTCTTCTCTGCTTCTTGGTCACCCAGTTTGTGATGTGAAGGGGTTACTTGCCTTCTCCATTCAGTCACCCTGTTTGTGATGTCGTGATGCTCATCCCTACCACAGAGGTGCTGCGAGGGTTAATTAGTGTTGGCAAAACATTTTGAAATGGCTGATTGAGAAACACTGCCAGAGATGAAAGCTGAATAAGTATCTGGATAAATAAATATTCCTTTGTAGTCTTATCATTACGGGAAACTCCAGGTGTACCCAGGATGCTGCACAGGTCACTGAGCAGTCATCTCCCCACTGCCTGGAGTCTTCTCAAGGGGACTCATTTATTTAAGTACTTCACTTTAGTTTCTGCGACATGAGCCACAATACGTACCACACAAAGAGAAAAGCCTGGCAGTAACCAGCAAACACCATGGAAATACCAAATGGATTGGCAGTTTTTTCTTTCTCTGGAACTCTATTCCTGTGTTTCCCAGTGAATTGTGTGGCTGCAGAACCCAGAGCATCCTAGGAGGGAGAAGGGGGAGTCCGGGCCTATTAGACACAAGGAAGGAGGAGGGATCCTCAAGCGACTGTCTGCAAGACACTGTCTACAAAAGCTCTGCTGAAGGC